TAATTAATAAAAGTTTATACTGGTAAAAACAAATTTATTAAAAATAAAGGTATCTTCGCTTGAAATTGAATGTCTATTTAAAAATTTTAATTACCAGTAATAAGTTTTATACCTCCTCGTTGTTTTTATTTTCTTCTATGTCGCAATTTCGGGACTTGTGAAATAAATTGGAAGAAGTAATGTTAATAAAATATTTGCGCGTAACAAACAATATGGATTCGAATTTAAGTACAAACAAATTCAGGCACGACGTTATGACAAACACGCTTTTCATTGGACGATGCGGCTTCTTCAATATCCTCCACTATTCGCTTTTGACCCGATGCTTGTAAGAATTCCGTAAACTTTTGTTCCGAAAATATTGTTGTTTCCAAGAGTCGACGTCTTTCAGCAATTTGCAGATCAATACTTCGTTGATAAAATTCTTCATAAAACTTCTCACAGCCTCGGAGAACCATGGCACCTTCAAAAGTGTCACAAATTTTTAGTAGTTCAACGCAAAAGCTGGACACACATCCTGGAATAGTTTTATTCAAGTTTTTAGAAATAAATTCAAGAGACTGTCGCCATTCGTTGTATATTGTAAAATAGGTTCGTCATTTCTTAAACGAAAGCTCAGATAATGTTTTAGTTGCCAATGTTGAGCTGAAACCTCTTTAAAATAAGAGTACGGTATTTTTTCTGAGGTAGATATTTTAAACTCTAAGAATTTGAGAGATCTAAGAACTGCAGTCATATTCGTAACTGGTAAGTCTAGTTACGCGTTTTGATATCAAATTTTTACACGTCCCTGGTACTGCCGATCATAAAAATGCAGACCAATCAAATTTGGAGAATGCACAAACATCTTTGAAACTTCATTTCTGTTATGCAAGCTATACTATACAAATTATGAGAGTGCAACTATGCCGAAGCTACTCGTATCTGCTCCAGTCAATTGGCAGCGGGTGCTTCCCTTGGTATACATTTACCGTGGAGACGCCGTACTTCATGTCTGCTCCAGTCAATTGGCGGTGAAGTATGAGTTGCTTGGTGACTAACAACTGTTCGTGTCTGCTCCAGTCAATTGGCGGCGGCGGTTGATCAACTGACTACGCTGAAGTTACTCGTGTCTGCTCCAGTCAATTGGCGGCGAGTGCTTCCCTGGTGTACTGTACATTTACCCTGGAGACGCCATACTTCATGTCTGCTCCAGTCAATTGGCGGTGAAGTTATGAGTCAGTTGGTTTTCAAGTTATCTCTTGGTAGTCACCAGCCTCAAGTTTGTATCATACACATTTAATAACACAGTTAAAATTTAGAAACATCAATCTGAGCTAAGTGATAATATGTTATATAAAATAATAAATATGTGTTTCAGGTCTCTCGTAATACTAAATTCGTCATCCACTAACGTATTCCTTTTCTATAGCCGTTCCGTCTATAATATCACTTTTGCAGTCTCACAAATAAGCTATGATAAGCCTTGTAAGGTGGTACGGATAAATTTTACATGCGGAATTATTACGCTAACGAATGTGGACAAATATTGTATCACAATAACGGTAAATTTTGTTCAAACTATTACCAAATCGCTAATTCAGATTTATTTTATTTGACGTTAATAATTCGAGAATTATCACATTAACATCACTTATATATTTCATCTGCTATTTTTTTGCATGTTTTACAATATAGGTGTGAATGATGATTGCATTCGTCACAGACCTTACACCCGTGCTTCCATCCTCTAAAGATATGCCACTTTTCGATGTAATTTTGTTTGTTTTTATTTGTTAATACGTTACTCTTATCTTTCATTGTTATATATTAGCCGAAAAAAATATATACATGTTCTAAATTTTTTATCATTCAAACCTGCAATTAGTTGATACTCAATATTGCTACCGTTGATAGGTTTCTAGAACCTGTTTGATTTCATTATATTTCTCATACACATCGTTGATCATGGTAATGATATTCTGCGCCTCTGACACGTAGTTGGCATCGCGAGAATTAATTTTTGTGGTGAGTTCATCATTGATTTCGGCTTTGATTTTGCCGATCTCTGTGGTAAGCTTTTGCACATGGTACAAAAAGAAACACATACCAAAGATCCCTATACACAGAAGAGCATGATCGGGGAATATCATTACAAGAAGGAAAAACAAAGTAGTTAATGCTATAAAAGGCATATTTTCTGAAATGTTGAATGAATGCATCTGCATGAGAAAAGAAAATCTGATTAGAAAATTAATCATAGAAAACACATAGACATTCAATTTCAAGCGAAGATACCTTTATTT